ACACCCCCAGGGGTAGGAGGTGGTGCAGGCTGAGCCCAGGTGAAGGATATAAATGCCCCAATTCTAAAACACAATGAGGCTAACTCTGGGGCATCCAAATGACATCCATGCCACATTCTTGAAAATGGGAAGACCGTACCCATAAAGCAGCTGCTGCCTGGTAAGCCTCAAGAAGAAGGAGAGTAAGAGAGAATGAAGACAGACTACACGTATAAGGCACAGAACTCTGGGTTGTTGGTGTCTTAGATCCAACAGACTGCCAGGCAGAGACGGAGAATGAATACCAGCAACAGGACATTTGAGTACCATGTAAACTTGCATGCAGTCAATGTGGACTCGATGGGTTGAGATAAAATGAGCCACGCTGTAGACCCATGGGGAAATTACCAGGGCCTGAGGGTAATAATAATTCATTGTGTCGGAGGAGAAGCAGCCAGAGTGTATATATACACGTTAGGCATATATATCAAGGTCCCCACTAAGGTAAAATTAGTCACCCTGCCCAGGATGCAACCCCACAACAAGCTTTGAACTTGTTAATTTGAACAACGGGATTTGAACTCAGAATTCTTGATTGTGAATCGAGAATGAACCCAACTGTACTACCGGGACCCAGGTAACTAGGTAAATGCAGCCAAAACAATCAGGCTATGAATGCCAACTGCAGCATGCCATATAAATAAACATGTGAACCCCAGTGCACCTGAGCACAACCAAAAGTATGGCAGAGCAGAGGGCCCAAACAGAGTTAAAGCGGCGGGGCATGCACATGACCAGAGGACAGAAACGAGGCAGGCAGACCCAAATGCCGCCTCATCAGCAACAAAACTGGGATGAGGGAGCAGGCTGGGGCCGGGCTGCCTAGTGATGGTAATTGGTACTAATGAGTTTCGAGCTAATGAATCCCTGTTTGTGTGTGAATCATGTGTGGAGTTGTTTGGTGGTTTTGAGGCTACATTTTCTGTGAATCCTGCAGTTATCTGTAAAGCTTCGCTTACTTTCTGGAGGCTTTTGCTGGTGGAGTGCCGGATTGTCAATCACTCTGTGCCTGGTTGATACCTGGTTGATGGGGTTCTGGGAGTTCTTCTACTCCCCAAGCCCGGCCCGAGGCCAGGCTTGACTTGTGAGAGTTTGGTCCACTAGGCTGCTGCTTGCAGCGGCCTGCAGGCCCACATACCCACCGCAGCTCAATTGGTCCAGCACACCTTGGAGGAAACTATCTAGTTTCTTCTTGAAGATGTCCACTGTTGTTCCGGCAATATTTCTCATGCTCGCTGGGAGGGTGTTGAACAACCGTGGACCTCTTATGTTTATACAGTGTTCTCTGATTATGCCTATGGCACCCCTGCTCTTCACTGGTTCTATTCTGCATTTTCTTCCATATCATTCACTCCAGTACATTGTTATTTTACTGTGTAGATTTGGTACTTGGCCCTCCAGTACTTTCCATGTGTATATTATTTGGTATCTCTCTCGTCTCCTTTCTAGAGTGTACATTTGGAGAGCTTTAAGACGATCCCAATAATTTAGGTGCTTTATCGCATCTATGCGTGCCGTATGTTCTCTGTATTCCCTCTATTTCAGCAACCTGTCTTGCTCTGAAGGGGGAAGCGAGTGCTAAGCAGTACTCAAGACGGGACAACACAACTGACTTGAAGAGTACAACCATTGTGATGGGGTCCCTGGATTTGAAGGTTCTCGTAATCCATCCGATCATTTTTCTGGCTGATGCAATATTTGCTTGGTTATGTTTCCTAATCATTAGGTCATTAAACATCACTATTCCCAAATCCTTGACATGCTGTTTTCTTACTATGGACAGATTCGATTGTGTTTTGTACCCTGTAATATGTTTCAGATCCCCATTTTTCCTGTACTTGAGTACCTGGAATTTATCACTGTTAAACATCATGTTATTTTCTGTTGCCCAGTCGAAAACTTTATTAATATCTGCTTGAAGATTTTCAATGTCTTTAGCCGAGGTAATTTTCATGCTGATTTTTGTGTCATTTGCAAAGGATGACACGAAGCTGTGACTTGTATTTTTGTCTATATCTGATATGAGAATAAGGAACAACAGTGGTGCAAGGACTGTACCTTGAAGTACAGAGCTTTTAACTGCGCTTGGACTCGATTTTATTTGATTGACTGTTACTCTTTGTGTTCTGTTCGACATGAAATTGAGTATCCAGTGTCCTACTTTACCAGTTATACCCACTGACCTCATTTTGTGTGCTATCACTCCATGGTCACATTTGCCGAATGCTTTTGCAAAGTCTGTGCATACAACTTCTGCATTCTGTTTTTCTTCTAATGCCTCAGTGATTTGGTCGTAATGGTCATGTAGCTGTGAGAGGCATGATCTTCCCGCTCGAAACCCATGTTGGCCTGGATTGTGCAGGTCATTTGTGCAGGTCATTTGTTTCCATGAATCTAATGACCTGACTCCTGATCACTCTCTCAAATACTTTTATTATGTGGGACGTTAGTGCAACTGGTCTATAATTTTTTGCCAATGCTTTGCTCCCTCCCTTGTGTAGAGGGGCTATGTCTGCTGCTTTCAGCGCATCTGGTATCTCCCCCGTTTCCATGCTCTTCTTCCACACTATACTGAGTGCCTGTGCTACTGGTACTTTGCATTTCTTTATGAATATTGAATTCCATGAGTCTGGACCCGGGGCTGAGTGCATGGGCACATTGTCAATTTCTCTTTCAAAATCTGTTAAGCTCGTGTTGATATCAGTTATATTTACAGATGTTTGGATATCATGCATAAAGAAGTTGTCCGGATCTCCAATTTTCATGCTGTTTATCGGAGTGCTAAACATGTCCTCATATTGCTTTTTCAGGATTTCGCTAATTTCTTTGTCATCCTCAGTGTATGAACCTTTTTTGATTTAGCATATGTGAAGAAATATTTTGTTTTTTTCTTTATTTCTTGAATTGCTTTCTGTTCCAGTTGCCTTTCTTCAGTCTGATGTGAATGCTTCAGTCTCTGTTCGATTTCTTCAATCTCCCTGTTTAAAATACAGTATTCCTTCTTTGTAGGGAAAGTTGTGTCTGCTTAAGCATTTCTCTTAATTTCTTCCTTCTGTTGTAATGTCGTCTGCATTCTCTTTCTACATTTGACTTCTTTCTAGCTTTCCTCAAAGGAACATGTTTCAGACAGACTTCATGAACTTGGACTGTACTCCCTTGAGCGCAGGCGGGAGAGATACATAATAATTTACACATGGAAAATATTAGAGGGGCTGGTCCCAAACCTGCACACAGAAATAACATCACATGAGACCAGAAGAAGACCATGGCAAGATGTGCAGAATGCCCCCATTGAAAAGCAGAGGTGCAACAGGTACTCTGAGAGAGAACTCTATCAACATCAGAGGCCCGAGACTGTTCAACACGCTTCCGCTACACATAAGGGGCATAACTGGCAATCCCCTCACAGTGTTCAAGAGAGAACTGAATAAGCACCTCCAAAGAATACCTGATCAACCAGGCTGTGACTCATACGTCAGGCTGCGAGCAGCCGCGTCCAACAGCCTGGTTGATCAGTTCAGCAACCAGGAGGCCTGATCGACGACCGGGCCGCGGGGACGCTAAGCCCCGGAAGCACCTCAAGGTAACTTCAAGGTAGGTAACCATATGCTTCAGACGTCAGTTTTTCTATTCCGTGTGTAGGATTTTTATTTCTTAGAACATTTTCCCATTGAATGTTTGTAAGTTCCCTGTTTATTTTCTCCCAGTCTATCCTTTTATTATTAAAATTGAATTTATTGAATAACTCTTCTTGCATGTTGTTTCTCTTGGGCCTACTTCCGTTATTAATGTTAGTTTGCACTTGAATGAGCTTGTGGTTCGAGTACGTAGTGTCTGAGACAGTAATGTCTCTGATTAGCTCATCATTGTTCGTGAATATCAGGTCCAGCGTGTTTTCGTTCCTACTTGGTTCTGTATAATCTACTGACTGAGCGAGAATTTGTCACAGAATCTCAGGAGTTCTCTGACCTGTGGTTGGTTATTTCCAGGTTGATTTCCTGCTATACTGTTTTTGTTTACTATTCTCCATTTTAAACTGGGTAGATTGAAGTCTCCAAGGAAGATAATATCTGGTACTGGGTTTGCTTTTGCTTTTTGACTTATATAAAGTATACCCTAAATATATCCCCTAAATCATTATAATTATCCCTATACTTAGTTTTTTGGGGGGTTATTTTTTCTAGTTTTCATTTCAACACATATTGACCTACAACTTTTACATATCTGATTACCAATGCCAAACAATGTTTATTAAAATATACAAGTAAATTAATGAATTAGAAGTACTGTACTTTATACTGTACATTGTTGATAACTCCAACTTCAATTATCTCTAAAACTAGAATTTCAACACTGAGTCCTGTCTGTTCTACAATCCTATTAGAATGAATTTTTAATAAACTTTAATTGTTTTGAGTTATAAATTTTGTTGTCTGAATTTGGTGTATATTTCAAATGCCATATTGACGATTTTTTTTTACAGTAAACTAAACTGAAAATCTATATTCTAAATGTATTAAAATGAAGATCATATACTATTCTGAGAGCATAACAACACTTAATGAACAATTGGTGATATTTAATATTTTTGCAGCTGATCTGAAAATCTGAAATTTTCAATATTAAATTTTATAATTATTTTTAATTTTCTTGTTTTTCAAGTTACGTTGATGATCATTTAGACAAATTTGGAGTGTATGCTTAGTAGATTATGCACAAAAAATTTGAAAGCATTAGAACAAGTTTGAAAAATTTAACTTATTGTACCATCGGGTCCTGTCGTATATATACGCCATGCGCAGTTTAAGGGTTAAACAATACAGTGTCTATATTATCAGGAAATTATTAACTGAGCATATTCATTTTAAATGTAATGTACTGTACAACAGCTGAAACACATCCTTGATACAGTGTTGTAAGCTGCATAATACATAGTTCAAAACAATAGAGAAAATGCCTACCAGAATTCATGAATGAAATAATGGTGGCTTCATCAACACCAATTGGAGGACTCTGCGGCTCTCCATCATCGTCCTTGTAATTATCTTCGTTGTATTGGTCCACATCTATGTTACGGAATTCCGAGCTGAAGGTATTCTTTGCCATTGTTCTTTGGACAGAAAAAGCAGTTGTTAATATGGATGTTAAAGGCAGAATATTCATCAACAGCAAAGTCTTCCACATATTACAACAAAAAATGTTGACAATGACAGTGCCTAGTATAAATGAAGGAATGAGATTTTGTGATGTTTAGATATAAACATAATTAAACTTAATTGCCACAAATTTCTATATTCAACAAGATTTTTAGACTTTCAGCTATATAGTGTCACACCCAATGCCCACAAAGTGTTCTCTGCCATACCACTCTGACCTGTAGTGTTAGACCCAGTGCCCAAAACAAATGATTTTTAACCACTGCACTCTGTACCTGTTTAACCCTTCTGCTGCACGAGTCATACAGGGGGTGATCGTGCCGTATCTAACCACACTGTGAAAGTCATACTGGGATGATCGCTTAGTATCTGACCACACTGCACATATCATACCATGATGATTGTGCCGTATCTGACCACACTGCATGAGTCATACAGGGATGATCACGCCGTATCTGACCACACTGTACGAGTCATACAGGGATGATCACGCCGTATCTGACTACACTGCACGAGTCAAACAGGGACGATCACGCCGTATCTGACCACACTGCACGAGTCATACAGGGACGATCACGCCGTATCTGACCACACTGCACGAGTCATACAGGGACGATCACGCCGTATCTGACTACACTGTACGTGTCATACAGGGATGATTGCTCCGCATCTGACCACACTGCACGAGTCATACAGGGATGATCACGCCGTATCTGACCACACTGCACGAGTCATACAGGGATGATCGCTCCGCATCTGACCACACTGCATGAGTCATACAGGGATGATAGCACCGCATCTGACCACACTGCATGAGTCATACAGGGATGATCGCTCCGCATCTGACCACACTGCACGAGTCGTACAGGGATGATCGCTCCGCATCTGACCACACTGCACGAGTCGTACAGGGATGATCGCTCCACACCTGACCACACTGCACGAGTCATACAGGGATGATCGCTCTGCATATGACCACACTGCACAAGTCATACAGGGATGATCACGTCATATCTGACCATGCTGCACGAGTTGTACTGGGACTTCTAATCACATGGCCCTGTACGACTAACTACCCTGTGTGATGGGGCATTTTTTTTAGCACCACGTAGCTAGTTCTTGACACACACTGTACTTCCTTCAAATAGTCTAGGGTAACTACACAAATGCAGATATCCCTAAATCTATATAAATAAAATTGTCAATGTTCGTTTGTTCAAAATCGCTAATCTCCGAAAGTTCTCAGCTGATTGCTTTGAAATTTTGACACAACGTTCCATTGCATCTGAGCAGGTTTTTATACACATACAGTACTATATAGATGTCACATCTGAGACAGGAAAAAACATGCTTCTTTGAAAAGCTGTGTTTTTCTGTGTTTTTCATGTGAGGGAAATCTTCGAAACCTCTTTACCGATTGCTTTGAAATTTTGATACAACGTTGCATTCGAATTGGCGCGAGTTTTTATATACCTACCATATACGTGATTCACCTGTGACAGGAAAAAACATGCTTTTTTTGAAAAACCGTGCCATCTGTTGGACATAAGAGCAACACATGCACTGTGTTGCATGTGTTGTGTAATCACAGAAAGATCTTCACCAATTGCTTTGAAATTTTGACACAACAATCCATTCAAATACGTCTGTGTTTTTATATACCTACTATATTGATGCCACACCTGTGACAAGTAAAAACATGCTTTTTTGAAAAACAGCGCCATCTGTTGCACGTAATAGCAACTCATGCCATACTAAATATGTTACAATTTCATTTCATTGTTTCCAATTGCATTGATAAATTGAATTTTCATAGATTTTGATTTAATTATTTTGTGTGACATTGTGATGGAATTGAGCTGTGTTTTTACCATACCGTTCATTTCGTAAGTATAAGTATAGATGCCACACCGGTGACATGTAAAAACCTTTTTTTTTTTTAGGAAACAGCGCCATCTGTTGCATGGAGGAGCAACACACACTATACTAAATATGCTACGCTTCCATTTCAATATTTCCGATTTCACTGATAAATTTAATTTTCATAGATTTCGATTTATTTTCATTTTGATTTAATTATTTTGTGTGACATTGCATTGGAATTGAGCTGTGTTGTTTACCATACCGTTCATTTTGTGAGTATAGTTTATTTTTTTAAATATTCATTGTTTTTCATTTTGTTTTTTAAAATGTTTTTCCTATATTTCAGTGTAGGAACATCAGATCATTTGGGAATGCATCGGACAAGGGAGTAGGGAATGGTGGGGAGGACAAGGGGACAGGAGTGGGAGATGGTGGGGAGGACGAGAGAACAGGGGAGGGGGTAATGGTGGAGAGGAAGAAGGGACAGGCAGTTGGGGATGGTGGGGATGAGGGGACAAGGGAATGGAGAATGGTGGGGAGGATAGGGAAAGTGGGGGATGGGGGAGGGGGAAATGGTAGGGAGGACGAGGAGATTGGGGGAGTAGGAGATGGTAGGGAAGACGTGGGGGAGAGTAGAGTGGGAAATGGTTAGGACGACAAGGGGACGGTGGAGTGGGGGATGGTAGGGAGGACAAAGAGACGGGGGAGGGAGGGAAATGGTGGGGAGAACGAGGGGACGGGGAAGTGGGGAATGGCTAAGAGGATGAGGGGACAGGAGAGTGAGGAATGTGCTTTTTCTCCCATCATTGGGAAGACGAGGGGATGAATGGGAAGATGAGGAGGACTGGGAGACAGAGGATGGTTGCTGTGAACGGGTACAGCTAGTTTGTTAATAAAAAATGGTATATCAGGATACACTGTGGAATCTTAAACTGATCTGGAGATATTGTACCAGAATTAGGGTGTTTGTGGTACTGTAGCAGTATCCAGCCACACTGTCCATTACCCACAGTGCACCTAACCACTTGGGCTGGACAGTAGAGCAACGGTCTCACTTTATGCAGGTTGGCATTCAATTCCCGACCATCCAAGTGGTTAGGCACCATTCCTTCCCCCCCCCCATCCCATCCTAAATCCTTACCCTGATCCTCTGCAAGTGCTACACATTTGTAATGGCTTGGTGCTATTATGAATGACATCAATCTAATTTCTACCCATAATGCATCTTTCTTGAATTATTCTATTATTTAAAGACTGTACATCTGCCTGAAAAAGAGAAAAATATAATATAACCATAACCATGAAATTGAGATATTTGAAATATTTGTTCTCCTATGCAAAATCAAGATCAAAAACTACATCTAGTATTGGGCCCCTGTTAAAGAGAGATGGAACTTTCACAGATGACAAGGTAGAAATGAGCAAAATACTGTACTGAGGAAACAGTACGACTCTGTTTTCAGCGAGCCACTAAACACACTAAAGATTGATAACCCAAATGGATTTTTTATGGATATGATACCAACATCAAATCATATATCAGATGCCACCCTATCCCCACTGGATTTTAAAGAAGCCATTGACAGTATGCCTATGTACTCTGCACTAGGCCCTGATTCTTGAAACTCTATATTCAGCAAGAACTGTAAAAAAACACTACTGTAGGCTCTTCATATTCTTTGGAGACAGGGCCTAGATACAGTACTGGCATTATCCCTGACACTAAAATCAGCAGAGGCTAAAAATTACAGACCGATAGCAATAACATCGCACATCATAAAAATCTTTGAAAGCGTGCTAAGAAGTAAGATTACAAGATACATGGAAACACAGTATCTCCATAACCCTGGACAACTTGGTTTCAGAACAGAGCACTCTTGCCTATCAAAGTTGTTGGACCAACTATGACATGGCCTTAAATGCCATGGAAGACAAGCAAAACACTGATGTAATTTACACAGATTTCGCAAAAGCCTTACACAAATGTGACCACTGTGTTATTGCACACAATATGTGTTAAAAAGGAATTACCGGAAAAAATAGGCAGATGAATCTACAATTTCCTGACTAACAAAACTCAATGTATAATAGTCAACAAAATAAAATCTGGACCATCAGCTGTTAAGAGCTCAGTCCCCCAGGGTACTGTGCTTGCTCCAGCACTTTTTCTCAACCTTATATCGGACATAGACAAGGACACAAACTATAGTACTGTATCTTCCTTTGCTGATGACACTAGGATTTTTTATGAGAGTAGAGGACACAGCAAAGAGGCGAGCCTGAAAACCCTACTGCTGCCAGCTTCCTCATACCCTTAATCACTAGACCTACTAGAATCACTGATAGTACTGCCATGACTCTTTATCACATCTGGACCAACATAACCTCTCCGCTTCCTTCAGGAATAATCATCGATAGCACTACAGACCATCTTGAGGTTATCTTGAGATGATTTCGGGGCTTTTTTTAGTGTCCCCGCGGTCCGGTCCTCGACCAGGCCTCCACCCCCAGGAAGCAGCCCCTGACAGCTGACTAACACCCAGGTACCTATTTTACTGCTAGGTAACAGGGGCATACGGTGAAAGAAACTCTGCCCATTGTTTCTCGCCGGCGCCTGGGATCGAACTATTACCCCACATTTCTCCTAACATTAACAAACCACCTCTAGAGACAAAAGAGATAAGCTTTAGGCTGCAAAATGAAACTGCTATAAGCAATTTTATAGCTGCTGCTGCTGCTAATGTCAACTGGGAGTCTGAATTAGGTAACATAGGGAACATCAACCTAGCAGTGCAATCTTTTCTTCAAAAAACTCTCAGCCTTTACAACATCCACTTTCCTATGCTAATGAAACAAGGCATAACTAAAAGGCTAAACAATCCTTGGCTTACAAAGGGAATACTTAAAACCATTAATAAAAAACATGAACTTGAGAAGAAGTTTAGGTTAGGAATCGACTCTTAAAGAATTTTCAAAGAATTACTCGTCATTGCTATCTAAAATAATTAGAAGAGCCAAAACTAAATACTACGAAGATAAATTTACCCAAACAAAGGGCAACATTAAGAAAACATGGAGCACAATTTCCCAAATATTGGGATCAAAGAAGATTTTAAATAACAAACCAATACTCCTGTCCAATAACGATGGTCAGCTTACAGCCTCTGATAGAAGAACCTATTGAGTTCAATAGAAGAACCTACTGAGTTCAATAGGTTCTTCTCTTCCATTGGGTCATCCCTTGCAAATGATATTCCATCTTCCAGTACTGATGTTCAGGACTGTCTTACAGGTAACTATCCACAGTCTCTGTACCTAATGCCTGCAAATTCCACTGATGTTAATGAGATAATCCTTTCCCTTAAAACCAACTCTAGTGCCCTTGAGGAGGTACCAACTTTAATTTACAAAAAAGCCTCCAGAACCTTTAGATCTTTAGACCCTTGCTATTGCATTGCTTTTCAATAAGTCACTTGAACTCTAAACCTTTCCAGATATTCTAAAAAAAGCAAGAGTAACCCCTGTCCACAAAAGTGGTGAACTAACTGATGTTAACAACTTCAGACCTATATCAATCCTGCCAAACTTGTCAAAAATATTTGAAAAACTAATCTACAAGCAGCTTTACTCTTATCTTGCCAAACACAATATACTTAGCTCTTGTCAATATGGCTTCAGACCCCAAAAAAGCACTAACGATGCACTTAGTAGTATGATTAACTTGATACATGCAGCTCTTGATAAAAATGAGTTTCCTGTTGGGTTATTTGTGAACCTGCATAAGGCATTTGACACTGTCAACCACCAAAACCTTCTTCTTAAATTACATCATTATGGAGTCAGAGGACACTCCCTCCAATACCTCAAATCTTACCTTACTGACAGGCTCCAGTATGTTTGTGAATAATTCAATTTCTCCCACCCTACCCATCAACATTGGTGTTCCTCAGGGCAGCATACTTGGCCCTCTCCTCTTTCTCATCTACATTAATGACCTTCCAAATGCCTCCCAACACCTCAAACCAATTCTATTTGCTGACGACACAACCTCCATTTACTCCAGTCCTGACCCCATTGCTCTTAATGTCACAGTGAATACTGAGCTAAATAAAGTCCATCTTTGGCTAACTGCCAACAAACTCACCCTCAACATTGACAAAACTTTCTATATTTTGTTGGGCAATAAATCCTCAAATCAAATAAATCTCAGGATAAATAATACCCAAATTTGTAACAAAGTAGATGGCAAATTCCTTGGTGTTCTCATTGACCACAAGCTGAATTTCCAGGGATACATTCTAAATATATAAAAAAAGTTTAAAAAACTGTTGGCATTTTTTCGAAGATCAGATATTATATACCTCGCCCTGCCTTGGTATCAGATATTATATACATCGCCCTGCCTTGGTGACGCTCTATTACTCCCTCATCTATCCTTATCTCAACTATGGTATTTGTGCTTGGGGTTCCACTACCCAAAATCAGTTACGTCCTCTAATTACTCAACACAAAGCTGCTATTAGGACAATATCCAACTCTGGCCCCAGACATCACTCGGTACCCCTACTCAAATCTCTGAATATGTTATACAGTATATTAAGTCGCTGCACATCCTCTCATGTGTATTATATATATATAAAATGTTGAACTGTAATGCCAATCCTGACCTTAAAAGCTTCATTGGAGGTTGTAACAGAACCTATGAGCACCACACCACAAACAAATACCTTTTTGATATTCCAAGAGTACAACTTAATCAAATTAGAAATGCTCTACAAATCAAGGGACCCAGAATGTAGAATGACCTTCCCAATCATGTTAAAGACTGTACCTCTCTCAACCAGTTTAAGATAAAAACTAAGCACTACCTAATTAACTCCCTGTAACCTACCTTACCCCTATAATGTCAACCCATGTCTCTTATTTTTAAACAATGTTGTTTGTCGACCAAATTGTATTTTTGCTGTTTTTCTGCCATGTTCCCCCTTTTTTATTTTTATGTTTTCTCAACACATTTTATACTTTAATCTCAATTAGTATTAAGTTTTAGTCTTTAGTGTTTTTCCTGCCCGAAACGCTTTGCGTAATAGTGGCTTTAGGCATTGTATGTACTAGCTCTATCTATAAATCCATCAATATTTGTATCACCCCTTGTATGTATGTACTTTACCTGAATAAACATTTGAATTTTGAATTTGAATTTGAAATCTCCAATCAGATGTAAATTAAGTCTCAAGTCCACAACAAATAATATGGTATTGATGAAGATAAGTTCCAGCTCCTGCGCTACGGAAAATATTAAAATATACAAATGGAAACCACATACAAAATGTAGTCAAAACATACCATAGAACGAAAAAGCAATGTAAAGGATTTGGGTGTACTCATGCACTCATGACCTTGGAAGACCTTTTCTCTAAAGAACACAATAAAGTGGCCATCACAACTGCAAGAAAAATGACAGGTTAGATAAAAGGAACCTTTCAAACAAGAAATGTTAGACCAATGATGATACAGTACTTTACAGGATGCTAGTGCTCTCTTAGAGTGGAATACTGTTGCACAATGACAGCCCCTTTCAAAGCTGGAGAGCGTGCAGAGATCCTTTACTGCTAGAATCCACTCAGTAAAACATCTGAACTATTGAGACCGATTAAAATACCTAAATCTGTATTCTCTTGAGCGCACGCAGGAGAGATACAAAATAATTTACACATGGAAAGTATTAAGAGGGGGTGGTCCCAAACCTGCACACATAAATAACACCGCATGAGACTAGAAGGCATGGCAGGATGTGCAGAATACCTCCCATTGAAAAGCAGAGGTGCAACAGGTACTATTGCCCGAGGCCCGAGACTGTTCAACACGCTTTCACTACACATAAGGGGCATAACTGGCCGATCCCCCTCACAGTGTTCAAGATAGAGCTTGATAAACACCTCCAAAGGATACCTGATCAACCAGGTTGTGATTCATACATGGGGCTGCGAGCAGCCACATCCAGCAGTCTGGTTGACCAATCCAACAACGAGGAGGCCTGGTCGAGGACTGGTCCGCGGAGACGTTGAGCTTCGAAATCATCGCAAGGTAACTGCAAGGTATAAATTTAACAATAACAAAATTCTTAACCATTGCAAGAATCATGCAGTCATGGAAAACCAAGTCCTCTACTGTTTATTATAAATTTTCAATAAGATGCCTCTCATTTTTCAGTATGCTACTGAAATATATGTGAAGAGTT